GGGAGTTTTAAAATTAAGTTCGAATGCCAAAACATGCTCATCGCCCCTCTACCGCCCAAAATATGCCCACCGCCCCCCCATAGCCCAAAACAAGTTCACTGCCCCTCAGCATCCTCCCACCGCCCCCCGGGGGGGGTGGTACCGCCCCCATTGAGAACCAATGCACTAAACGAAGAGTCTTTAATTTCAACTGGTCTACTTACAATTAGGATTAGATATAATCTGTTATATTACCTTACAGTTCATGCATCTCAAAGGAGTATCTTATATTATTTTATGCATAGTATAGTTCAGTACAGTACAGTACAGTACAGTACAGAATAGAATTACTTAAAACCTATGCATTTGTCTCTCCTAAAAATATCTGGGGCAATTATATATACACCACAGATGAAACATATTGCATTTCCCTTCTCTCATTCAAAACTCTCTCTAGCAACTAAGTTGCCTGATCCCTCTTCCACCCTCACCTATGCCTGGGGCTTCCTAGTCATTCTGAATTGTTTATTGTGCTCCCCCCATGCCCCACTGTCAGTTTCTTTCCTTTCTTAGCTTACTAAATAAAAGCAGCAAAGTTCTGCCCAGTTTTCTAGCATTAACGTAACTACTGGGCAAGCGAAGTGGGGACAAGAAGAAAGCCGCCCAGAGTCACCCATTGGGGGAGATGGGCGGCATACAAATTTGAAAATAAAAAAAAATAAATGAAAACAAATAAAGAGAAAGCAAGCAAAAGTATAGTCCAGATCCAACCAGACAATTTAGAGTTACAAACTCTATTCTACATATAGGTCATTTGCAAAAAGGTCTTGTACAAGACAAAACTGTCTTTATCTTTATCTTTAGCACTGCCCATAATGAAAACATTATAAAACATTAAATTATCTATTTTCGCTAGCCGATTTAATGTTAAGAGTTATATGGATACCTAAAAGTGACTGATTACTTCCAATACATACGGATTTAAAAATGAAAGACTTTTGATACCAACTGTATTAAAGAACACGCACTTTAAGAATGTCTTAAGATAAAAAGATTCTATGTGAAAGATTGGATTCAATATTTATGATTATCAGTAATTTCACATTAATCAAAATACTCAAGTCCAATGAACAACCCTTTTATGAGATTGGCAAGAGGACAGAGACTTTTTTTTTTGGTTGAGAGCCAATGTAGTGTAGTGGTTAAGGCGTTGGATTAGGAAGTAGAGACCCAGGTTCTAGTCAACCCTCAGTCCAAAAGGTCACTAGGTGACTTTGGGTCAGTCACTTTCTCTTAGCCCAATCTACCTCATTTGTTTTGGGGAAAAATAAGAGGGAGCATATGTATGCTTCTTTCACCTCCTTTGCAAAAAGCAGGATGTAACTTTACATGATGATGATGATGATGATGATGTGCATGAAATACTACCCTGAAAGGCTCCCTAACATTGGAGGACAGCTGTATGCAAGCAGAAGCAGCCTACCAGTTCGTGGGATCCAAGATGCTGATTACAGTGCTCACTTAAGTAAAATGTGATTTGTTCACAACAGACACTCTTCTCTATTTTTCTGAGTCTCTGCTTATCTTCCAAGCCTAGCATCTTGTTTATTTGATTTTTATCTCACCTTTATTTTTGGTCAACAAAAGGCAGTGTACATATTAATGCTCTCAACCTCTAGTTTCCCCACAACACAGTGAAGTGGGTTGGGCTGAGAGTATACGTCTGGCCCTAAGTCACCCAGCTGGCTTTCATGCCAAAGTTAGGAAAAAACCCATGGTATCCTGGTTTCTACACCCAACTGGTTCTCAAGTTACTTTCTCCCAGCCCAATATAGCTCACATGGTGATGGTTGTGGAGAAAAATAAGAGACGGGAGCACTATGTAAAACTGCAGAGGTAAACTATTTGGAAGTTTGTTTCCAATGAAACACTTAGGTTCTGAGGTATTTTGACCTTCATTAAAGGTTAGTATTATGTCAGAGGCGGTCAGTGCAAAGTATAAATAAAACCTCATAGCTACTGTTTTGCAAATCCACCTACATTTGCTCCTATGCCATTATTTGCTTCCTCCCCCCCCACTGTGACACTATTTATCTCAGTGTCTTGATGCTGGCAGATGTGAAAATGCAGCCAATTATGGCTTATTCAGCAAACCACAGCTTAGTGCAACCTGGGAAGCCAGTATATAGATCCATTCTGAAGAGCTCCTCATATTCTAGAACTGTTACCAACAGAAATATAGCATGGCAAAGTATGCTAGAAATCTCCTTGCCAATCGCAAGAATTTATGTAGAAGAGTACACAATAATGCCTTTACATGTGCAATCTAAAGTTTATCACCACTTTTATCATGCTGTGAAGTAGTACTGTTTCTGGGCTGCAGACCGCAAGAAAACTAATATGTAGTTCTATAAACTAGATTTATGAGAGAGCCGGTTTGGATAGTGGATAAGGCAACAGGCTAGAAACCAGGAGACTGTGAGTTCTAGTTCCGCCTTAGGCACAAAGCCAGGTGGGTGACTTTGGGCCAGTCACTCTCTCTCAGCCCTAGGAAGTGGGCAAGGCAAACCACTTCTGAAATCTTGCCAAGAAAACTGCAGGAAATTGTCAACACTGACTCAGAGGCACCCCCGCCCCCCAATTTACAGATAAATAAAATACACAATTTATTTTCTTCACTTATACCCTTTGTTTTGCTTTCTCTTCTCCTTGCATACCTATATGACAGAAAAAATATTTCTGTATTTATAACTGCTATTTCTATTAATTAACTTCTTATAATGAAGTATATGCAACTTTTGATGTACTTCATTATAAGAAAATGCCTGTCTTCCTAAACAATAGTCAACCCAAATCTTAGCTAAAAAATTAGTACAAATTAAACTGAAACAGCACCCTACCATAAAATGCAAATATTAGTTTAGTGCTTTAAAATAGAAGTGTTAATATAGTGTTTATTACCACCACGATATTACGTACTAAAAACAAATGTATGAAACGGTATGCATTTGGAGTTGACTTTAAACAAAGAACACAATCCTATGATTCCTTGGATATCCCAGAGAATGTAGGATTTTCCATCTGTCACTCTCTGAGAGCAGACAGAGAAGTTCAATCTCTTCTCCAGTGAGCCTGTTCATGGACAGTACTCCTCTAGTATTATAAATCATAAGAAATGAACAAAAAAGAGGCTTCCAGAGGAATGATGGTGAAAGGCAACAACAACAAAATAGGCAAAGAGGGAACAAATAATGCCACATCTACAGATAATATAATTTCCCTCCATTATGAATAAAAAGCAATTAGTTTCTGAAAAAGCAAGTATCATAAAAGGCCTTCATTTCAATGCCCCCAGAATTTTTTTTTTTGGCTACAACAAAGCTTTATAACCATTTTAAATCAAAAGAACAAATTAATAACAATTAACATGTCCCACTGACTTCAGCAGAACTATAGTATTACCAATTTAATCTAGATTCAGTTTTCACTTTGTTCAGATCCAGCGTGGTGATGGCGTTAAGATCTGGACTGAGGAGACCTAGGTCTAAGTCCATTCTTACTCTTGGAAACTCACTGTGTGCATTGGGGCCACTCGTTCTCTCAGCCCAACCACCTTAGAAGGCTACTGCCATAGGCAGATTGCCACATAAGCTCTCTTGAGCTTGGTGGGATAAAAATCAAATCAATTAATAAATGTTTCAGGCTGGCAAAAAGTGATAAAGCAATAGAACCTTAAAGATGCTAACTGCAGTTTTAGTAAAAGTAGACAGTCATTAAAATTAGAGCCATAAGCAATATGAAAGCACAGATTCTGGATGGCCTTGGGAAAAAAATTAAGTTATATAGTGGCAAAAACTCCTAAACGATTACTTGCAGTTCAAAATCTATATTAATCCGGAGTGCTATAAGTTATGGTTTAGCCATGAAAGTTAGATTTATTTAAACTGTAGTATGTTTCATGGTGATGAACCCTGTTGCAACTATTCTATCTTACATTAAATCTTTAAATATTCTGCATTTAAAGGCAAATTTCATCTCTGCATTTTTGTATGCTAACTGGTTAAATAGGAAAATAATATATTATTGCATTACTGATTCCTTAGCAGTTCCTTAGGTTTCCAAATCCAAATTAAAGTTTAATATTTTATTTATTTTTCTATCTTCTTGGGAGATGTGTAACAATTTTACTCAGATATCTAGGATTCTTCTTAAAGAAAGCTATAACTGAATTTCTGCTATATATTCTATATATTATATCTAGTTCTATATATCTAGTTCTATATATTATATCAGTGCATTTCAGCTTCTAAGAGCAGCAAAAGCTCAATCACAGAGATTCTTCTATATCCCCAAATTCAGTTAAGCTGAAAATAGAGACAGACTTTCATGATAAAACTTGTCAGACAACAAAATTCCATGTATCAATTGCAAAAGTATAAAAATAAAATAGTCCAGAGGCAGCCAAATAGTAATTTAAAGATCAAAACACTCCTTGAAACAATGTTATCAGGTCCCACTGAAGTCAAACTATGTGAAATGTTTCTCACAAGTGATACCATGGGCAACTGTTTTCCTGTCCATGTTTTAATATTAAGTATTTAAATTATGAATGCAATAACTTTCTATGCTACGTGCAAAGTATTCCATTACTGTGTGAATACTACTGCTAGATGCAGACGATGTTGTTAGAAGGTCTGGTCAATTTCAAAGCATTGGTTTGCACCATGATAAACAATTTTACCCCAAAGATTAATGAAAATAACCCATCCAAAGAGTATACAGAATGAACAAGTATACAAAAAGCTCAGGGTAAAATTTTGGATGCCTTCCTGAATTCAGACTTTAAATCTGCTTTTAATTATTCAAAGTCATTATGTTTTCTAGTGGAGGGGAAGTAATAGAACTTGATATAATTAAAGAGATGTCCTTATCAATGGATGCTGATAGTTGAAAAAGATGGACAACCTCAGCAGAAAATAACAGTACATGACAAAAACAGGAAAATATCTTTCAATAGAAGGTTAGCATAAAAAATAATTTACCAAGCTGGAAAACAGAGCTGACAACCTATAGAAAAGCAAATATATTGTGTTTATCAGATCAACTGAATTCTGGACAGCAGTTTAAATAATTTTCTATAATAATATTTAGAATTTATATTGTTGGAACAGTAAAAACTGGTATTTATTGATCCACCCAGGCTTTATAATATGCTTTTGTTGATATACTTGTTTTTAAAATTATAATTTCAGCATAAAAATAATTATGAGACATATACAGGGTGTCCCTGTGTTAAGAACGCCTGGGTTACAGACAATCCATAGTTAAGAATGGAGCCTACTATAGCAAAATTCGAGTTAAATACACAATGATTCGAGTTAAATACATTACACAATACTACTTACATAGTATTATACAATAATATTGTTCTGGCTTACGTACAAATTTGACTTAAAGACAGACCTTGAGAACAGAACTCGTTCTTAAACTGGGGACTACCTGTACAACAATCTGGATTCAAAACAGAAAAGGTAATTCAGGACCTATATGGATTCTCATGTCACACTTGTCAGCAACTCTAAAAAAACAGAGTCTTTTCCTGGGTTTATACAACAGTTACCACACAATCTCAGAAAAAGATATTTTTGATTTAATTTGCTGCTCACATGCAATATGCAAGCCCATACTTGCGCCGTATCATATTTCCCCTTTCAATCCAGATTGCTGCAAAGCCCTATCCTTAATTTTATAATGTAAAGGTATAATCAGAAATAAAGTGAATTAAAGTACTTCTGCAGAGCTAAATAAATATATATCTTAAATTATAATTTAAGATTAATATTTATGACTTTTTTGCTGTAAAGAAAAAAGAAAGATAATATAGAATACGCACTGTTCCTGAGAGGACATCATGAGGGCAACAGTTGAGAAGATGACTTTTGCACACTCTGTCATCACTGAATTTAATTCGTTGACGGGTAGTATCCCCTGTAACACAGAATTATACATCTCTGATTAGATAATCATACAACATTCTATAAAGCAATATACTCTCACTTTTGTTCAAATGAATATCCTCTGTTTTTCACAAAAAGAAAAATATTAGATCTATATTATTTTAGCCTCAGCAATGGATACAAGTTTCTAAAATAGTGTAAGAAAACTAAAAAACTCTATTCTGGGTAAAAATTCATTGCCTTTAAAACAAATTTACAAATGTCACAAATTAATACTCCTAGTGAAATAGATTATATTAACATCAATAGCCTTCAAAACATTTATACCACATTTCTTGGGTGTTTACTGATTTCCAGCTGTCAGTTGGATCTTATTCATGGCACTGAAGCATTTACTTCAGGCAGGGGCAACACATATTGAAGTTGTTTTTTTTTTAAACCTAAATCACTGGGGAAAAATAAAAAATGCCTGCAAACAGCATTATTCAAGAGAGCTGAAATCCCCTATCTGAATATACAGCATCTTAATTAACTGAAACTTTTATAAACACAAAAGCATCAACCTGCTTACCACATATTGAAGTCCAATTGCAAGTTTAATCAATCACATCTGTGAACAAGGTTGGAAATATTACATCTAAGTGGTATGTGAAACACTTGGCTACTGATTTATTGCAGGTTTTCCCCCCCAAGATAATGGGCAGCAGAGTATTCACTATGTCAGATTTGAAAAAGACGTTTTTACAAAATGCACTTTCAGTCTAAAGATGCAGAATCAGATACAACCCTTGTATTTCTACTTTTTAAAAAAAAATCTTTTAAATTGTGATTATATAAAATGAAAACCTACTGGTGAATTACTGAAGCAGAACATCACTGCTGGGAAAAAACAAGAGTTTTGGAACTTTATCCCAACATTATTCATTTCAAAAAGGAGAAAGGTTTACAATAAAAAATGCAGCCACTAGACTATTCTAATAAACTTGAAAGAATTTAAGCCTATGTATGCAACAATTCTACACTCCAAATTCTTAATCCAACCAACCTATTGTGCAATTTCAACTACCTGCCCTAAAAAGAACTAAGATGTAACATTTTCAGATGGGCTGTATTCTGCTCAAGTATTTGTTTCTGAAATCAATGTTTATCAAGGTTAGTCAAATAAGTAATTCACAAAGCTTCAGAGTAGTTCAGCAATAGGTTTTCAGAAGCTAGGTCTCTAGATTTAGTAATTTTATACTAATGAAAATTTAGAATTGTCTTTAAAAGTCACACCTACTACTTCAGAAAATGAGGAACTGGGATATTTTCCCACCAGTTTTCCTCTCTTTTTAAAGACATAAATTGTTGGTTCCACATTAATTAACACATCTGAAAAGTTAGCAATAACTCACGGCTCGGCGAATGCGGGGCCTTTCTGACACTCCCTTGCAGAATGAAGTAGGCAGGCATAGATACATTGAACCTTTATAAATAAAACAAGGGGCTAGATTGTTCAGTTTGTATATAATAAACTCTGCCAGCATTTTAATTACAGTGTCTAGAAATACATTGTGAAGGTAAAGAGTAGTAGGAAACCTGAAGTATTTGTGCCTGATAGCAATGAGTCAGCTTTGTATTCAAGGGAGATTGTACTAGAAAAATGTATCTAAATTATAGCTGGAAAAATATTTTAATTACTAGGTACCTATGTTTTGTTCATCTTTTGCTTTAAGCAATCTTGCTTAAAATTTTTATTCCGATGCCTAGAATTTCAAATACATTTCCAGCCTTGCTTAAAACGCTTTTCATTTTAAAAACCCACTCATTTCCAGATGAAACTTATCTCAAAATGCAAATCACTGTATTAAAACATACTTGCATGGTGTATTAATTTTTAAACATCATTTTAAAGTACAAATTCTGATAACATTTCAATGTTATTCCAGATTGTTCATCAATATTCAGTAACAATGGTAACTGAAAGAAAAATGGGAATCAGCTTTTTCTTTTTATTGTTGTATATTCCAGTGTGATCAGGGAAATTTATTCTTGCAACTGTCACAATGAATGTATACAAACATAAATTTAAATTGTTCTCTAGAAACAGCAGGTTCCTTTAAAAAAAAAAAAAGATGTCTGTCCCAAACCATATTTCCACTACTTCATAAATATGGAAGCAATTATATACTTGCATCTCGTTTAGAAAAAAAAACTTATCAAGCCAATTGCTATATTGTCTTTAAATTTACAACATAACTTCCTGATAATAACAATTAGCTTCCTAAAAGATGTGTTCTCCACCAAATAATAATTTAGTGGAGTCCACTATAATATGGAAATACTAATCAAATTTCATGTCTATTACAAATACAAAAAACAAAAAAGTATTACATCTGTCTACAATAAATACATTTGATTACATATTCTTCTAGAGAGACAAAATAAGACCGTACATATTTTTAGGTTACATTCTACTGTTGTATGCATTCAATATTTGAATAGACCACAGTATGTTTATCTCATTATTTTGATAATTAGCTTTATATAAATCATGATTTTCCTCCCATCTCACCTACTACAAATATCCCAGTAACATTATTGATATTCCTACTATTACAGGAATCTTCTTTAGCCTATGTAGATCCCAGTTATACATTATCAAGAGAACATGTTAGAATTATGCAAAAAAAACCTGATAGGTCAGAATGCATAAACATGCATCAATCTACATCTATACCGCATTATAATAATTTAATCCGGTATCCCTATTGTAGATAGTGTCAGAAGCATGTCCACAGATAGATATGCAGGTCAATAAGTAATTGTTGATCCACCCTAGCCTGTTCTATGTTCCTCTTTCAATAATTATAGATTGAAATTTCTCCATTACTGATAACAGTGAAGCAGCAATGATCTAAGGAATAAGAGTTGGGAAAGAGGAAGAAAATCTTATATCCTTCATTCCCTGACTGTTCTCCAGATTACTGCTTCCTTATCACTATTACCAATGGAGAAGCAATCATGACCACAACCACTTGCACAATGAAGGGTAAATGAAGTTTGGATCTGTATCCTTTGGGGGAACAGTTTGGGTCTAATTCCTCTGTTCCTTCTGAAAGATGAATACTGTATGAGCTGCCTGAGAGCACTCATAGGTATAATCTAGAAGTTTTCCAAAGACTGGGGAAATGCCACGTTCAACCCTATATTGATAAGAACAGAAATAAAGGGACAGTGGCCAAAGTGAAACTACTCTGTGGCTGCCACTGCATTTTTTATATTTTTAAAGCAAATAGCCTTTAATTCTTTTTGTTGTAACTATGCTTAAATGATTACATGCATGACCAAGTATCCAAATCCCCCAAACTCCTACTTCAGCAGAAGCTATGTTTCCAAAGAGCAGGACATCAATAATTACAGAAAAAAATCTGAAAGCAATGTCACTTACTGGAGCACAGACTAGCAAGCTGAATCCTGAATGATCAGAAAAACTTTTCACATATGGAAACAAACACTGAACTCATTATATTCAAGAACGGATGCTCTTGTATATATTTTCTCAGACACAGTGAAAAATGTTCACAAATTCTATTTGCTTGATATTCTTGTTACAGGTTTCTGTACTAGATACAGCTTAATTTAATCTTATGTTTCCACAAATCAGAGTATGTTGAAGTTTTTAAAGAGTTTTGGATTACTGCATTTTCTACATGCTTTCCAAAGAAGGGGTCTTTTCAAAACATTCCAAGTCTCTCTGAAGTGTAGTGGGACAACACAGCAAGCCCTCACAACACGCTCTTCCCAAGCATAAACCTCGCCCCCACGATTTCAACCCATCCCACCCGATCTCACAGAGAGGGCATGCTCTGGACCCCCTTGGCCTTCTCTGCTGTAGCCCCCGCCCTTTGGAACATCTTGCCCCTGGAGGTGAGACAGGCCCCCTCACTCC